TCAGAACTTGGTCTATAGGCCCCTAAACCTTAAACCCTACGACTGCAACCCTAAGCCCGGAGCCCTGAACCCTACGACTTCAACCCTAAGCCCTAAGCCCTAAACCCAAAGCTTGGCCCAAAGCCCTCTAAACCCTGCACCCTGAACCCTGAGCCCCGCAAGCTTTAAAGCAAACCAGGTACTCCAAAACCCAGAATGCGATCCCACATCTTCGAGAAGGGCCAACTACCATGAAGGTACTATACCCATAGGCTCCTTAGTAGTTCCTTTTTGGGATTACCTTATAGGATTCTAAATATCAACCACAAAAAGGGACTACTTAGGAGCCCATAGGTAGGGCCTCAACAATTCTATGGGATCTACATTGCGATTTGCCGGAATTTAGGTCATTTGGTATGAGGCCGTACTGATAAAATACGGAGTTCCTGCGGGGGTAGATTATACTCATACATTCTGAAGGCACTGAAAGCGAATGGTTGACTTCTTGTTCCGACAAGCTTCCCGTGAGGGCTTTGGGGGGGGGGGGGGTTTTGAGCTTTGCTTTGTTGTTCTTCCTTGGTAAGACGGTTGGTGCTTCAACCAGAAATCTCAAGGACACCTGCGGTATCACAATGGATAGCTTTATACTGACTACCAAACAAGGCCCACACGCAGTAAATGTGTTGTATGGATAAACTGTGCTTCCGGAGAAGGGAAGAATTCGAACAAAGCACGCAGCAGACCATTGCACGACGAGATGGGGTTGCGAGCTTCAAAATTCTCGTTGATCGACTCCTCGACTTCCTCAGGGTATCCAAGAAGCCCTGAACCAACAAAAACGAAACTAAATAACCCTTGGCTTGCTTCGACAGGCGCCTTGACACGGATCGCAGCGACGTATATGCTGCCAAGACCAGTGTCATGAAGCTGCCTGCCTTGGAAGGTTATCTCAGGGGGGCCGGGGTTTACTTAGTACCTAAGTCATACAGAAGGTATCTGTAGTTATGATTCAGTAATGGTTACCTCCAACTAAGGTACTTATAACCCTACTTACTAAGTCCCATGATCCTCCAAAGGATTTAGCGGCTCCGGCGTTCTTGGGGCTGTTCAGGTCTGGGTGTTGGGGCCAGCCGATTTAGGGTTTAGGGTTGTGCATGGTTTGTGTGTTTACGGTTTCTGTGGGCTTTAGGGTTTGTACGGCTGTTAAACTCTATGTCGATAGCCTGTGGGCACGCAATCGGAACGACCTTACTCAACAAGAGCATGCAGTCCAAGCTGCGATGACGGGCCAGGGCCACCACAAGCATTCATCGCCCAGTAGCAGCAACGGGAACCCACAAGCCCTGCAAATGACATCTCCTCTGTTGGACTGGATGCTGCAAGCGAACTGACTGTCACTGGTGCTTCTTGAACTGATATAAACCAGATCAAACTTCCATATAACACGAGATCCTACAAGCAGAAGTTGTCTCTGCTTCAGATCGGCCACTCTACAAGAGTTTCGGCTTCTGAGTTGTTGGCTTCGCTTTGCTTCCCAGGTATAGAAAGTTTCGACCCCGAGTTGCCTTACACCCTAAAAACGAAGCCCTATATGAATAAATAAATAAATCAATAAATAAATAAGCAAACAAACAAACAAACAAATAAATAAATAAATATAAATATATATATATATATATATAGACCCTAAGCCCTGAATAAGCCTTCATAAGGCATACAAAGAAGTATCTTAACAATCACACATATGACGAGAAGGGGGTTTCTTAATTCAGATGTCTACATTATCGCGGATAGGCGGCCCACCGGGCAAACATCGTTTGCGACTGAGGAAATGAAGCGCGATCTTAAACATATTATTGAAGTTGATCGATGTTGGTGGAATTGGCCCATGTGCTGCTCTTGCGCTTCAAGCTCTGGTCCCCAGAACTACTGATTTGAATAGTAGGGTTTAGGGCTTCGGGTTTAGGGATCAGGGTTTTGTGATTAGGGTTTAGGGCTTAGGGATCAGGGTTTAGGGCTTAGGGATCAGGGTTTAGGGCTCAGGGATCAAGGTGTAGGGCTTAGGGATCAGGGTTTAGGGTTTCTGGTTGTGGTCGCTGCTACAAGGGCTAGGTCCCTCAACCTCGAAGCTCACAGTGCAACGGCTTGCCATGAAGGTTCGGAAAGTTGGACTAGGTTCTTTGTATAGTTTAGGGTTTAGGGTCTAGGGTTTAGGGTCTAGTGTTTAGGGTTTTTGCTTTATGGTTTAGTTTCTTTTACATGTGTGGGTTCTGCCTTGCTTTTTGTTGAGGGGGGAGGTGGGGCCTTGACCCAACACAAATGTCAAAAGGGAAGCTTGAGGAATGCTATTATCAATCGTCCATTTTCTTATATATTGCTTGACAATGGGTGGGGTTTGGGGCTTCGGGCTTGGGGTCTAGAATTTGTTATTGAATGTTGGGCCGATCTGGGTGGAAGCAATCATCTAGACCCGAAGCCATGAACCCTAAACCCTAGACCCCAAACCCTAAAACCCTAAAACCCTGAAACCCTGAAACCCTAACCCGAAAACCCTAAAATCCTAAAACCCTAAAACCCTGAAACCCTAAAAACCCTAAACCCCTACACCCCTAAAGCCCGAACCCCCTAACTCGTTCGGCTCCTGCCGAGGCGTAGGTGCCGGAAGGGCAGCGGGCGCAGAGAGTTCGGTCGAAACTCGGAGTCGAACCTCCACTTCTAAGGGCTGTAGGTGTACGTAAAGGGCTTGGGGTGTATAGAGCTTAAGGTTTAGGCTGTTTTTTGTTTTTCAACCCTAAACCCTAAGGGCTGTAGGTATACATAGGGCTTAGGGCTTATAGGGCTTGCGGTTTAGGGTTTATAGGGCTTAATTACACTTCAGGACTGTACCCATAGGCCCCTAAGTAGTTCCTTTTTGTGGTTTATGTTCAGAAGCCTATAAGGTAATCCCAAGAAGCAACTACTAAGGAGCCTATGGGTAGGTATATGTAAAGGGCTTAGGGTTTATAGGGCTTAAGGTTTAGGGTTTATAGGGCTTAAGGCTCAGGGTTTATAGGGCTTAAGGTTTAGGGTTTATAGGGCTAAGGTCTAGGGTTTCGGGTTTTTATACATATAACCCTCCATTGTTCAGGGCTGCAGGTCTATGTAAAGGGCTTAGGGTTTATAGTGCTTAAGGTTTAGGGTTTATAGGTTTTTCAGGACGGTAGGTATATGTAAGGGGCTTAGGGTTTATAGGGCTTAAGGTTTAGGGTTTCGGGTGTATATATACATATAATCCTCCATTTTGCAGGGCTGTAGGTATATAAAAAGTCGAAGCCCTGCAGTGCGTTCGAGGACAAGTATCGCCCGAAGGACACAAACATAAGAGCATGCAGGAATCCGCTGAAGCACGGGAAGCGAAAGGGGGCCCATGGTGAACTGCCTTTAAGGGGAGCTACAGATCTGCTATGAACTTCTACATTACCCATAGGCTCCTTAGTAGTTCCTTTTTGGGGATTACCTTATAGGATTCTAAATATAAACCACAAAAAGGAACTACTTAGGAGCCCATAGGTATCCTGGAGCTCGGATTCCCGATCCCCAGAACGCGCAACCCGAACACTCTACTGCATGTACCACCTTCCGATAGATCTTGGGACCTTGATAAGTAGAATTTTGGGGAGTTTTGGTGGTATACTCGAGTATAGTTAAACTTAGGAGCCCGTAGGAGCACTCTTCTTGTGGCTAAGGCCCCAACCCCAATGTTTCACCATAGACAACTTCGAACCGTCACAAAACGGGCCGACTCCACAATTCCGAAGTCCCCCCAAAACCCGCGACTTTAAACCATCTGCAGAGCTCTGTAGAATGATTGTAACTGGAATTCTTCAGCCTTCCCATGACCCCGAACTCCAAACCCTGTATATGACCTGAAACGCCAAAACTCCACATCCCTAGGCCCTGAACCCCTATACTACCCTTCGCCCCATTCCCGCCAGCCTGCGGGGCAAGCGGAGCAACTCAACTCCGGTGCTTTGGTCATGTCCTCCAAAGTCTAAGCCTAAACCCTAAACCCTACCGCAGATCTGCGTCTGGAGTTGGAAAGGGGCCATAGTGGGGGAAAAGCAACAAACACCCAAAGCCATGCACTCTAAAACCCTAAACCCCAAACCTAAGACCTAAAACCCTAAACCCCAACCCCCTCAAAAACTAAAAGCCCAAAACAGCCACTGCGCTTCGGGAGGAGGGTTTCCGGGATTCAAGGGCCCAAAAAGGTGGAAACCGGATTAAGGACGAATAGTGCAGGGATCCCATACATCACTCTTTAAGGATTCAGGTTATTGGGTTTCCAACTGTTGGGCTTCTAATGTAGTTGTCCAGTATCCGGGGAAAAGTAAAGGTTAACCGCCTTCAGCCATCTGGGCCTGTCATTTAGGCATAGCAAACTCCTTTGTACATTATCTAGGGTCATCCCCATAACCCTAAACCGATAAACCCTAAGCCCTAAATCCCCGAGTTATAATACCCAAACAAGGTTAGAGGCTACCAAATCGACTACCAGGCTTTTCTCCTGAGCCTGAGCTACTCTTACTTCGGATCTTCAGAGCCAGCAGTGGCTGGTGCCTTGCTCTTGATTTGTTGGCTGAGATAGCTGGGTTCAGGGTTTAGGAATTTGGGGAAGCACCAATCCTAAACCCCAACCCAAATCCTGAACCCCAAACCGTAAACCTATATACCCTAAACCCCAAAGCAAGCCCTGAACCATAAACCCTGAGATCCCTCACTCCTCACAGCGCGACTTCAAGCAAAAGAGACTCTAATCTTCATATTTAAAGGCTGTTGGCCTTAGGTGGGCTCGTTTTTCGAAGAGTCTGCTATTCCAGAGCATAATAATCTAGAGAGCTCACCAGCTCATTTCTGATAGCCAGAGGTTTAGAGGCTATTTAGACTGATATGGTGTCTCACCTGAGAATGCAACCCTAAAACCCTAACCCCTAAACCCTCAACACCTAAACCCCTAAACCGTAAGTTTTAGGCAACCGGTCCTTGACCAGGTGGGCGGCTGGACAGTCGCAGCCTTGGTTTCCAGCCCAGCTTTCACCCCGAAAGTCTCATGTGAATGAAGGGTGGTATAGGGTTCCGTTCATAGCGGTTCTTGAAAGGTTCTATAAGGGGTTTAGGGTTTAGGGTTTATGAGAGTTCATGGGGCTCTGTCGGGGTTCAGGGCCCATGTACTAAATTCAAGGCCTCACCCCGAGGATGCTAGGAGCTCAAAAAACCCAAACCCTGGGGGCTCGAAGCCCAGTCTGCAGCTCCGTCAGTCCCTAAACCCTACCGGTAGCCAGAAAGACCTACCTCTTCATTGGGCTTCCTTCTTTTGGATTCTATATAAAAACAGGTAGGTCTTCTCGGCTACAGGTAAGCCTTCTAAGGCCGCATCCGTAAAGCCTATTTAAAAACCTGCGAATGCTGTATTCTCGCACTTCAACGTCTCTGGCCGAATCTAGCGCACTGTAACCGGGAAACTTCGCAAGGCTGCGGCGAAACAAAAACATCGGTCGAGGCCTTGTTTAGGGGTTTACCTGGACCCCCAACTAACCGCTGAAAAAAACCTAAATACCCACTAGTAGCGACCATGAGGATTCCATTAGAGGGCACTTGGGAGGTCCTGGTAGGGTTTAGGTTTCAGAGGTCACTGCTTCGCGGGTTTATATTTTAGGCTGATCTCTGTGTACAGGACTCGCGCTTCACACCTGGCTGGCGTGTAGATTCAGATTTCAGCACTCATCTGGAAGCCAAGAAGAAAAAAAGGCAAGTGCCAACAGTCGCAAAACTACGACACAGACTACGGAAACCACAACAGGGCAACGCTTGCCCCTGGTAGTCCCTGAAGACCTCCAAATACAAGGCATCCTCTCGGCCTTCGTTCCTTGTGCAAAACTACACACCACTTGCCAGTTCTCTGAGGCATACAAAAGCAGCCTAAAAGGATCCAAAGTACTTACATGGGGGGATGTCATTATAGTGACTCCTAGATAGAAACTCGACTGTCTTCCATTTTGCTACTTAGGATCCCCTTGAAATCATCTCATAAAGTGACGCCTAGACAGAAACTCTACTGTCTTCCATTTTGCTACTTAGGATCCCCTTGAAATCATCTCATAAAGTGACTCCTACATAGAAACTCTACAGTCTTCCATTTTGCTACTTGGGATCCCCTTGAAGTCATCTGACCCACATGCTGATGAGGTCACATGTCGCCACATCGACGGCGCCGGCCACCAGACTCGAGGCCATCCCATCTCCTGGTAATCTAGGGGAAATTATATCATAAGATGATCTTTGCAACAAAGGAGCACCAAAGTAGTATGGGCACTTACCTAGGCACATGCAGCGGCTTCATGACATAGGGAAGCGCACGACCAAAACTGCAGGAACAGCGCGAAATCGAGAGCCCTAGCAGTCACATGCACTACACTACTTGAGCTCTCAGACCGCTACACAAGGAGAACTTGCTCGGATTCTCGTGTGGTTTAGGGTTTAGGGAGGCCTAGAACCACTATGTATGACCATAATACTGTTGATGATAGAAATCCTGCATTACCTTAAGGACCCTAGACTATGGGAATTATTGTATACTCCTTATTATGGGTAATGCAGGATGTATATCATCAACCGAATGAAGTTTAGTGTCTGTCGCAGATGGTAGAACAAAACACTGCTTATTTAAATAAAAGCTAAACCAAATCACTCAATGGCTTCACACTCTGAGCCCTACACGCGAAACCCTGAAGCGTTATGCAGAAAGCTACCCATAGGCTCCTTAGTAGTTCCTTGTTGGGACTACCGTATATGATTCGAAATATAAACCACAGGAACTACTTAGGAGCCCATAGGTAGATGCATCCCAGGCTCTCCGAGAGCAGGGGAACAGTGCGCAGGTCACCTTCCAAAAGGCAGCGACATCGCCTCGCGAAAGAGGCCCCTACGTTAGGGGTTTAGGGTTTAGGGTTTAGAGGTTTAGGGTTTAGTGTTTAGTAGGGTTTTAGTGGAGTGTACCAGAAGGTCAGACACCACCGTAAACCCTAAAGCTGCAGATCCACCGTGACAAAAGATTGGGGGTGCAAAAAAGGCAAATTGAATTGGTTGGGGGGGGGGCTCTTGAACCGTTTTAGACCCCTTCTAGAACCCTTGCAAAAAGAGGGTTTCGGTTACTTCAATTTCATAATCATAAGAATAATAAAAGCAATACTCGGAGTAAGAGTACTAATAAGAATGCCTTCAAAAATGAATAATGGCACTACTACTGCGAGTAAAAGTACTACTAGTTCTTAACACGAAGAAGAAGAAGGAACCTACGGAATGATATTGGGTACGTCTTCCGACCCCGACCCCTTTGGTAGCCCCCAATATCTCCAGGGCCTTCCTCGCGGAGCCGGCGCGGCGATTGAAGCTGTTGGAGGAAGCCGCAGTCGTCCCCTCGCAGGAGGAAGCCTGCGGTTTAGGGTTTAGGGTTTTAGGGTTTTAGGGTTTTAGGGTTTTCGGGCTTTCCAGTGTTAGAGGGGTCTACGGTTGATGATATGAACCCTGCATTACCCATAATAGGGAATGTACCGTAATTCCCATAGTTCAGGGTCCTGAATAACCCTAAACCTTAGACCCTGAAAGGTACGGAAAAGCCCCGAGACACCCTGGGTGCCTGAACAGCTCTCGTTGGCCTGGCAGAGCTTGGCACAAGGCCCGAAGCCGAGCGACACCTGTTCAGGGCCCCCACAAAAGCACATAAGGACCACTTAGGGTTTAGGGTTTTTTGGGGTTTAGGGGTTTAGGGTTTAGGGTGTTGCTAGTGGGTCCCTGGTTCCTCTAGGGATGCCCTGGCGAATTCCACGCCCGAAGTCGTTGAATGAACTAGGTTTTCATCAGTCCCTCTATGTAAGAAGAGGGGGAGAGAGAGAGAGAGAGAGAGAGAGATAATGAGAGAGAGAGAGAGTGAGCGAGAGTGTGATTGAGAGTAAGAGTGAGAGAGGGCAGAAGGGTTTCGGGTTATGCCTTTGGGATTACAGATTTAGAGATTCCAGGGCTGAGAACTTTTCAACCAGACTCTACGATCTTAGGGGCTTGGGGTGTGGAGCATTGGTTAGCTGCGGCTGTAGTAGACTTCCTGAGCTGCTTTTGGAGTTTTAGGGGCACAGGGGTTCGGGGCTGAGTCTTGGGTTTAGAGGTTTAGGGTTGAGGGTTTATGGTTTAGAGGTTTAGGGTTGAGGCTTCAGGGTTTAGGACTTTGGGTGCTTGAGGACCTTTCACTGGCGTGAATCTGCCTCTGAACTCAAGCTAGACTCGAGAAGCCAAGTGATTTACACAGCAGGTTCCTGACTTTGGCCGGCCCCTACATATAACCAATCCAAAAGTATCATATAGTAAGCAAACGCGAAGGACACAGACAGGTGGGTCTTTTTTTTAAGGACGGTTAAATGCAGGTTGGACTGATGAAGCGATCCCCAGCACCCCAAAAAAACCCAAATCCTAGTGAAAGCAGATGTGGGTAGTTCTCTAAATTAGGGTCTCTTTGAGAGAACTACCCATGTATCCCTCTTCAGGCAAGCGGTTGACCGCTTCCCAAGGGCATTCACAATTCCCAGGGACACGAGGGTTTACTCGGGAGCTCTCTTGTTCAGGGGCTGAAAAACTTAACTGCGCTGTATTAAAGAGCCTTGCGAGGGTGTCGCAGAATGGCAGGGGCGCTTTCAGGCTTTCCACGAACTTGGTTTAAAGCATCATGAAAAATATGAGGAGAATTCATCGAACTGCCCGACTGTGAAACCATAACACACTCTCTTTGTTAAGAGCCTAGTTTTCGCCGGCGTTACGTGTTATGTTAATCCTCTCATTAGAGGTGAACCCCACAAAGTTGGAACATGGATTTAGCATGATTAGTGGTAGGAGCCCTCATAACTCACATACTTTACCTTACGAGCACCAGGTAATAATGTGCCGACTTTCTGGCTTCTACGTTAATAGTGTTTTGTTGTATGGTGGTGAGCATGAAGAAAGGAGTCAGACCCAGTTACGTTGCATATCCTCAACTACACCTAAAGTCCTCAACTTATTTGTTTACTTTTTACTTAGTTATAGTTAACTGTTGAATGTATTTGTTTATTTAAACAGCGGCATCAAAAGTAGAAACCCCCCCTAAAAGAGTAGGTCTTGTGATGTTTAAGTACATCCGACCCTGCCTGCCCAGTCCTTGTCCCGGTCCACTCGGCCGTGCCGAGCTCCAAGAAGCCCGCGGTGATGGGCAAACAGCGGCCCTCCATGCAAACCTGGGCTCGGCTTTGGCTTTAGGGTTTAGGGTTTAGGGGTTTAGGTAGGGTTTAGGGGTTTAGGGTTTAGGGCTTTAGGGTTTTAGCCTTTAGGGTTTGAGTTGGGTTTAGGGTTTCGGTGTCTAGGACTCTCAAGCACGCAGATATCCCCATATCCCTTTGATTTTGGACTAAGGAGTATACCGGGAGTTATAACCGGATCCCAAGCATGATGAACATAGCTTTCCTTAAATGAAGTTTATTGGAAGATCTGGGAGGGTAGTAACCCTTCTCCGCATCAATATCTGTTCTATCATAAATACCAGAAATTACTACCAATATGTGCTTATCTATGCTGAGGTACATTCTGATTCTGCTGCTCTTACCTATGAGTAGCTTGCAATGCAAGCGCCTTGACAAGGGATCCTCATGTTTACGATGGGTTTTCTTGTCATGTGTCTTATCTGTTATTGCTCCTGGCTGTTCGCAACGACCGTTGTCAATACTTAGTTCCTTACAGGCCAATAAGCGCAGGTTAACACCACATGCCGTAACTAATAAATTGTGCTCTTACGTATGTTTTACAAAAATAGTGATATCCAGAATCACCGCACTATGACAGCTTGCATTGCTTGCATTAACAAGGGCCAGGAGACGAGATCATCTGGACATGCAGATGCTGAGCGACCTTCCGGGGTGTTTTTTTCGGGTGTCAAAAGGACCCCCTTTGTTTTTAGGGCTTCCGGCTACCTTGCTCTGCTAACGCTTGTTTGTGAGGGTTTCTATGGCGGTTTCTATCTAGCTGATAGGGCTTTAGAGGCGGCAATGGGGGGCGATGATAAGCTCAAGCCTTCCAAGAGGGCTTAGGGAGTTATGCGGGCTTTCCAAGAGGGCTTGAGAGTCCATCGTGGCTACGACTTCTACGACTGAGGCGTGTCGGAGATTTAGGAATCCGGGCGGTCGGAATCAAGCGGCATGGATGTCAGCTTCCGAAGTCCAACTTGAGGTCCAACTGTGCAAACTGCGCTGGCGAACCAGAGTGCCACTTAAACGAAGCTCACAGGGTCCTAAGTCCTAAGTACTGTTATACTTCCCCAAATCAGAACACCTAATTATATTTCTAGTATAAAGACCCCTATACTCTACTATATAAGTGCGTTGGAGCCTTTGGGAAGTAGTATTGTAGTGGAAACTTTGGATCGTAGAGACCCGCTACACCCTAGCCTCTACACTCCTGGGTCCTTGGCCTAAGCCCTGTAGCCGGAAATTCGATACCTGAAGCCGACAGGAATACTACATTATAGGGGCTTTAAGAATTAGGGTTTTATAGCTTAAGGTTTAGGGTTTAGGGGCTATTCGTATTGGAACATTGTTTCGGGGGTATAGTACGAGTACAGTATAGTCATAGTAAGGAACCCCTCAAAAAGCACATATAGGCTTATGCGGGTAAGTACTCAAGCCTCTGTATTCCTCGAGTTTTCGGCTCAGGAAAGCCAAATTCTGGAAACGAATCTGACTCTGAGTAGCTTGCATGAGTGCTTCGTGGTGCTGGTGCCTCACCAAGTCATCAAAGCCATCTGGTAGGACAGATAGGGCAAGCTGCCGTAATGTAGTTGAGCACGCTTTGGGGTACATGATGGTAGTCACATGTGCGCACTGACAGAAATGAGCAACATCCCCTGAACCCTAAACCCTAAACCCTAAACCCAAAGCAATATACCCTAACATCTCTAAAATCCCTAAACCCTCAGCCTCTGACCCGATAATCTCCGTTAACCCTGAACCCGCGTGCTGTGGATAGAGTTTCGAGGTACTGTAGAGCAGAATTGCCAAAGGGACTCCAACTACCAATAGGGACGTTGGAGCTATTCAGAACCCTACGGTGCTTGTTGTACTGCGGTTGATGGTATAAATCCTGCATTACCCAGAATGAGGAATATACCATAATTCCCGTAGTTTAGGGTCCGTATGATGTAACGCAGGATTTATATCATCAACAGTACTGTAATTGTTCAGAACCCCTATTCGTGCTTGTCGAGATGCAACTTGGGCAAGAGCCAGGGTGAAAGTCCGTGAAAGGCCTCAATCATGAGGGGACTTCTGGGCTAAAGAAGACGGCTTGAATTGGAGGCGCTTAAACCCTAAACTCTAAAACCCCAAACCCTGCTTTGTCGCGTTAAGCGACATGTTTCCTGCTCAGCGTAAGAATCAGAGGATGCAGAAGGTCTGTCTCACCAGCTACCGACATTCATGCCCAGTAAGGGGCAACACCTTCCTGAAACCCCAACATCAAGTCACAAAGCTTACAATAAACCCTAAACCCTAAACCAATACCCCACCATTCCGGCTCAGGGAATTCACGTGTAGGGTTCGGGTGGCTCGGCCGAAGTCGGGCCCTAAACCCAAAACCCTGAATCCAACATGTGCCAGACCCCGAAACCCCACCCCCCCCCCCAACATCAGCTCTCATGAGAACTGCTGTCTTTTCAAAGTACCTACAATAGTAGAATGTGGGGTTTCTATATCAAAAATCCATGTGAATAGTTCTCTCAATTAGGGTCCCTTTTAGGGTCCTTTTTTTTGTCAGGGTGCCTTAATATATTGGGGACATAAACGGGAACCCTAATTTGGAGAGCTACCCATATTATGAGTTGCGAACGTATACCGCCCTAAGTACACCCCATAGCAGTACCTAGGACCCTTGGGGCTTCTCTCGTTGGGACATCCGCCAACCGGTATCGCTTACCCAAATCTGGCGGTACTTGCATTCCCGAGGGCTTCAGTTGCTGAAATAAATATGGGTAATTGGGTTACGTAATCCCTAAACCCCTAAACCCCTAAACCCTAAACCCTAGACTCCCTATAAACCCAGGCTGTTTAGGTAACCGGAGCCCGAAGGATTTTTTCATGGAAGTTGCGCTGCAGAAGTTGTCGAATGCCAGGACCTCGGACGCAGGTTCCCTCAACACCCGCGTCTCGTTCGCAGCACCCTAAACCCCCTACCCCTAAGCTCCTAAGTAGTTCCTTCTTTGTGGTTTATATTTAGAATTTAGAATCCTATAAGGTAATCCCGAAAAGGAACTACTAAGGAGCCTATGGGTGAACCCCTAAACCCTAGGACCCTAAATGTAGGAGATAGGATTAGGGGGCCTCTTGGATATAGACCCTCTCAATAAGCCCCTTTTACGAGAGCGAAAAATAGGGTTAAGAAGGGCCCCCTTTCATTGAGGGGTCTCCCTAAAATACTATCTAGGAAGACTTCTGTAAACCCTACAGAATCAGACGGCTGAAGGTTTAGTGGAGTTCCGGCGGTTTCGAAGAAACCCCAAACCCTGGACAAGCCCATGCACAGACTCGCAGGATATCGAGACCCTGGACGCAATGAGCACAAAAGCGCTTTGAGGTCTAGTGTTACGGGTTTAGGTTTTAGGGTTGATTCATATATACCATAGAACAAGGTAAAGGGCCCCTACTTGTAAGGGAAATTTGACCCCAAGAACTCCAAGCCAGCGATGCAAAGATCCGCCAACAGCACCCAAAACCCCAAAACCAGGGATTCGAGTCTAGGTTGCGGATTATTAACCCCCAAACCCTACACTAAACCCCAAACCGTCAACCCTAAACCCCAAAATCCTATCCGGAAAGCCCACACCCTAAACCCTAAACCCCGAAATCCTACCCTAACACCAAAATCTCACCCTATAACCCCCTAAGTCTAGCAAGTGGCTGCCAAGTGAGCAGTGCCCTGCAGGGAGAGAGGCGAGTTTCCGAGAGCAGCGCCCGCAGGCCCTCTTGACCTCAAGGGGGCTTCCAGGGTCCAGGTTTAGAGGTTTTAGGGTTTAGGGCTTTAGGGTTTAAGGGCTTAGAGGGCACTTCCAGGGTCCAGGTTTTGCTTTAGGGTTTAGGGTTGAGGGCTTAGGGCTTAGGGTTTATATAGGCTTTTAGGGTTTAGGGTTAGGGGTTTAGGGTTTGGGGCTTCGGGTGTAGGAGTGTAGGCTTTCTTGGTGGGTTTTGGGTATTTTAAGTAGTTTGCAGGTTGAAGCATAGGGTCGTATCGGGTTTAGCTGTGCAGCTCGCAAGGTTACAATTAGGGTTCTTGGGTTGTAAAAAAACGGGTTTAGTGGGGTTTAGGGTTTAGGGTTCAGGGTTTCGGGTTTAGGGGTTTTGGGCTTAGGGTTCTTGGGTTGTTTTAAAAAGCGCGTGTCATGTGGCGAAAAAGGGGCTACATATAGGCGACACCCTGCTCAAAAGGCTTTACTTATCGGGCTCCTTAAATGGCTTACAAGGGTTTTAGGGCTGTTTAGTTTTAGGAATGTGTAGGATTCAGGATTTCGGGTTTAGGGCTTAGCGTACGTATTGCGGCTCGGAGGGGGGTCTAATTCAGGTTTTTGCAAAGGGTGCTGTAAGGGGGCTCTCAAGGATGTAGTGAGGATTCTTAAACAGGGTCTTGCACAATATGAGCACTTCTCTGGGGATCCCCTCAAGAACCCGAAGCCCCTGAACTCTCAAGAACCTCCCCTCGGACTCTGTTCAGGCGTCTCGGGCTTCCTGCAGCAATCGTTTTCTTAGCTTCCGCAGGTGACAAGACGTCCACAGAGCAATCCCAAAGGCTCCAAGGGGGACCCAAGTATCTACCAAGTAATCCCTATAATCCCTAAACCCGAAACCCTAAAGTAAGCCCAAACCCTAAGAACCTACCCTAAACCCTAAACCCTAAACCCTAAGCCCAAACCCTAAGAACCTACTATACTGCTACTTGGACTCACGATTAAAGCGTCGAGGATGGATCTGGCCCCATATCTCCCGGTTCCGAGCCCTGCACGCTCCCTCTTTGGGGTTTTTAAGACATATTATAAGGCTTTCCGGTTTGGGACCCAAAGCCCTAAACCCTAAACCCCTAAAGTAGGGTTTAGCGTTTAGGGGTTTAGGGTTTAGGGTCAAAGCCCTATATATAAGCCCTGAACCCTGAATGTGGCGCCTGACTGTAAGCTTCTCAGCTGCCAGGTGCTGAGGCTCTGGTCAAAGTCGACTGCGCCACGGAAGGCGCCAGAGAGCTTCGAGACAGACGAGACGTTCCTCGGTTTTTAGGGTTTAGGGCTTACTACACGACCCCAGACCCTAAACCCTCAATTCGAGATAAAGATCGGAACGGTTTATTTTTAGGGCGGGGGGGGGGTCTTGGTTGGGGGTTTCCCGCGTAGGGGTGTAGCGTCTGGGTTTCGAGTCCGGTCGGGTGTTAGAATTGGTATTTGGTTGCTGTTGTTGAGACAGTAGCAGACCCTTACATAAAAACTGAAAATGTCATCGGATCCGTAGTATAAAGACCCCACCCTCAACCCCAAATCTCAGAGTTGAACTTTGGCAGCCCAGAAGTTTGGACAGCCTCTCCATGGCACCCTTGAATATGATCGATCCTACACTCCCAACTTTTGGTGTGGTGCTCTCAGATTAGCACCTTAATGCAGTCCTTAGAGCCTTAGAACAACAAGAAGCCCAGCGCTTCTAGGATTTCTGTGTCCCGTTCTTGTTGTTTTTGGGTCTCCGGATTAATAGTGCCCCAATTCGAAGGAGCTTCCAGCTAGCCAGTGGCTGGTTGAAAGCCTTGGCCCTGTAGAACATGTTGATCATGTCCTGGAGAAGGGAACTCGTTCGGTGCTTGGGGTTTAGGGAGGGTTTAGGGCTTGGCGCTGCAAGGGCATAGCAGACGGGGCTCTAATAGTTGAACTAGGGTTGTGTGGTCTATGCTACTATGCTGCGGTTATGATCACGAACCGAAAGCAACACTATTGGTAATCCTCCCGACTGCTGTATTGAAGGTTATGATTTATGGGCTCGGGTTTGGGGACGGGAGAATTTACGGACGCGGGCCTCGCGACTGCTAGTTTCAGGTCTTTCGGCTCATAGGACGTGGCGGGCTTGCAGTGTTCAACAAGGTATGACTCGTGGGGCGCGGGCTTCAGTCCAATTTAAGGCTGAATTGCAATAAACAATCTCACAAGTTGTCCAGGCTTTTGGTTTAGGCCTAAGAATTCAATTTAGGGTGGGGTTTACAGGTCTCTAGGCTTCCCAAACATGTGTGATTCAGGACCGACTCCTTGACTGACGCGGTGTCCCACTGGCTGAGAGGTTGGTTGAAAGAGACCGCATATTGGAACATGCCATGCATGTCCTCCACCGCAGAGGTCTCCCAGGTGCCTATGCGACGTTGAAAAGCCTTCGCCATCTTGAACATATAGCTCATGTCGCGCACCGACGTGGTGTTCCATCGGTGAAGTGGCTGGTTGAAGGCAGCTGCGTGTGAAAACATATTGCTCATGTCCTTGACCGCTGAGGTGTCCCAAGAATTTATGGACTGGTTGAAGGAACTGGCATAGGAGAACATTCCGCTCATGTCCAAGACAGACGATGTATCCCAGGAGTCAATGTTCTGATTAAATAGCCTAGCAAAGGCGAACATGTCATTCATCCTCCTGACTGAGGATGTGGTCCATCTCTGCAATGGCCGATTGAAAGAGCTGGCGCCACAGAATTGGCAGCTCATATCGCGAACCGAGGAGGTGTTCCAGCTGTTCAGGGGAGAGTTGAAAGCACGGGCATTCGCGAACATGTGGCTCCTTCGCAGGAGAAGAAGTCGGCATTGAGAAGACCCTCCCTAAATAACAACTGCTGCCTGCATGAGTTCCGATGACTCTGACGGATTCGGCTTGAGACGACCTTTTCTTGCAAAGCTCTAAACACCACTAAGCTCCTGACACCCTAAACCCTAAACCCGATGCCTCACTCTACGACACCAAACCGCAAACCCTAAAGCCCGACATCACATCGTAAACGGTACCAAGGTACATGTTGATCACCCGCCGGGTGTCCCACTTCCCAAGGGGCTGGCTGAAACTGGTCGCCCCGGCGAACATAAAGCCTGGGCAGTAGTTTACGTAGTAATTCGAAGGGCCTTCATCTTTAGGTTAGGTCCGGTTAGGTCTTTGGGATATATCTTATAACATAGACAACGATATGGGTACTTATTCCGACCCCTCCCCGAAAGAGGGGCCCCTGCATAAGGATCATAAGGGAGAGAGTAGGAAGCATCCCAAAGCGCCGCCTAGAGAACCCTAAACCCCCAACCCCAGAGGAGATCAGGGAAGCTTCCCAAAGTAAACCCTAAAACCTAAACCCTACAAAAACCCTACAAAACCCTACAAAAACCCTACAAAACCCTACAAAACCACCGCCTGGAGGCTCATGTCGCGCACCAAAGAGGTGTTCCAAGAGCTCAGGTCGTCGCTGAAAGAGCGAAAGTCTCGGAAGAGTCCTGAGGAATGCCGGGCCCTCGACCCTACGGTTTTAGGGGTTTAGGGTTTAGGGGTTTAGGGCTTAGGGGTTTAGGGTTTAGGAGTTTAGGGTTTAGGGGTTTAGGGTTTAGGCTTGAAATCGGTAGGTAGGTTA